ATTTCTTCAGGGGCATCAATGGGATCTTGCTCCCCTCTGTACAATGTAACTGAGGCTGAAGACCACCAATAATCCACAGCAGTGCCTGCACCACTGTTAGGCCACACAAAGACATGAATTACTCAAACATTCCAATGCAATTAAAGCATCTTCTGCATGGCACGTTTCACTGAACCACTGGGGGCTTGTTAATAAGACCGCAGGGCTTTTACTGAAATCATAGTGAGAGGCGGGCGGCCGTTCACATCTGTGACCGCTACGACGCATATGATCACCATGAGATAAGCTCAAATATGACACTCAGCAGATTCCACCTGGACTCCCCTGACACTGCAATTATGAAACCACTTGCCCTCCTTAAAAGGCACCTATAATTAATTCCTAACGGACTCAGAAATGATTTTATGTCCAGTGACAGTGCTGTAAAACAGGTACAGAAAGGGAAAATGCTATATAAAATAAAAGGACAAAAAGACGGTCTCCTAAGTGTTATGAGGTTTGTACCTAAATAAGCACATAAAATCATATAAATAGCATAAAATAATAATATATCAAATGATAGCATCAAATAATTATTTGATTACCTGTACTGTTTCATCAGAATCATTACAATATTAACTGACAAAGCAATGAATTTAGATTGGTTTCTTTTTCTCAATGCAGCCAACATGCCTGTTCGAGTGTTTTTTCTCTGTGATTTTTTGGCGAGGGGAATGTCCTGCATTGCTTAAGCCATCTGCTGTCCACAAGCTGAACAATAACACACATTCTAAGGACATCGGACAGATGTCTCTGTGGATGAAGAATACATTTTAAATGTAAGTATTGCCTTCTTCATATTTGCAAATCTAACAGGGCTGCGTTTCCCAAAAGCTTCGTAAGCCTAAGAAGTTCGTAAAAACGATCATACGACTGATCTTAATATTACGATCTCTTTCCCAAAAGCATCGTAACTTAAGTAGCACTTGAAAAACGTCGTAGAACTAAGAGTGCTCTGGAGTAATTGTAAAGCCCTAAGTGCATCGTAAGAAGAAAACGCTCTTAAGTCCTAAGATCAATCGTTATCAAGAAACGCAGCCCAGGACATTTGAAAATACTACCAGCCAAATGTTTGAACACAATTCATTCATGTTTTCTATGATTACAAGTTAGTTTTGTAAAAATAATAATAGTAATTAAATATGTGAATTTATTTACAAGTAAAATTTTATTTAGTTCCAATTTTATCAAGTTGGACCAGATATTGAAGGATCTATGCAAAGTTTCATAATTTGATGAATTTACTACTATTCTAAAATGTTAATAGTAGTAGTAATAAAAACAAAAACATAAAAAACAAATAAAAAATTAACAAGTATGATTGTCCAAACTTTTGACTGTCAGTGTAAGATTTATTGAAATACATGGTAAATAAATCACTGCTTATTTATTAATCGGTTTAAACAGTATTGATATAAACTCTATAAAGATATTTGGCCACAGAACCCATGAATGAAAATGTAAGGGTTCGCTCTTAATGTTCTATTTTATATATATTCAGTTATTTTTTGAATATTATATTAAATTAAAGAGCTTAACCACCCATGTCCTTCCAAATCAGTCATACTAAATCTTTCTGAAATGGCACTGCTTTTTCTGATGTTAACTAACTGCTAAAACAATGTTTGCTAAACACTGCTGTGCACAGACAAACAAACTGGTGGCAGGAACAAGTTAGGCCTGATATACGGGCTTCTTCTGCAATTCCTCTCAGAGATAAACATCATTAATACGCTACAAAGTACTTAGGGGGGGACATGGGTGCTACTTTGCTGGGGGGTTTGGTTTACCGTGAAGCAATGAGCTGTGGCGTTTTCTGCGCTGCGTGTGATACGTGGCAGATGTCGATGACAAAATCGGCATTTTCATGTTGAGAGTGGAACCCTGGCACGTACTCCAACAATAACAAATACCTACTCAAATATGGTTTTATCCTAAATTATTTGAAATGTATGTCATGCCGTTAAGATTTATGTGGTATCGTGTGTAACGTTGAAGACCAAAGGAAAGAAATAAAGGAAAAAGTAAACATAAAAAATGTGAAATTGGTTGAGGCCACATTTTTACAGTAATTGTTTGCTTATGGACAATTGTTTTTGAACTAGGCTAACATTTTTCTGTATTTCCTCTCCAAATGAGCTCAAAAAAGACCCATCAATGACAAACCTGTCTTTTGTTTATACAGCAATTATCTATCATAAACTCACAGAAATTACATTTATTTTGATCTGTAAAAATCCTAACTGATGTCAGAAGTCGAGCAGATGTACCTGCCAACCCTTTCCGCAACAGACGTATTTATCTCCACCTGGTGGCTCTCTGCATGTTCACCTCCAATCCTTGTAAATCAGGGCAAGACGAGAGCTATGTTGAAAACGAGAACAATTGGAAGCCACTAAGAAATAAAGAAAAAAACACAGATAGACAATTTACACACAGAGCTAAAGGTATCATGAGTGCAATATTATTCTACACACGTAGGCCTGTCGCAATAATCAATATATCGACTTATCGCGCAATATATGTATATGACCTCAATCATTTTTAGTGACGCAATATATCGCCCATTATATTTACTTAAAAATTAATGTCACCATGTTTTGTACATTCCACTTGCGCCTGTGTCTTTTGCAGCTTCTCGTACATAACGTGGTGTAGTCATGAGGTGCTAGATCAAATTTAAAAAATGCTTCTCAGGGCTCGAAATTAACTTTTTTACTTGGTAGCACTGGTGCTCCCAACTTCAAAACCTTGTTACTTTGCACTTTTTGTTAGAAATTATTTATTTACTATTTATTCAGGTTTTTTAAGGTATCTAATATTCATTTATTATATATTCAGTGGCATAACATGGTCTTTAAAATGACAATAATATCGCTTATCGCAATTATTTCTGGGGCAATATATCCCACAACAAAAAGTTATCGTGACAGGCCTATACACACATCCTCTTACACATATGCACTGTTTCAAATAAATATATTAGAACTACACGACAGAGTCCAGCAACACGAATAAAGTATTAACAGTGTTGACCTCGGCTTGGTTCATGGTAATGATTTGGCCGGAGCCGCCGACTGGTGTTTTGGCTTTAGCTGTGTATTAATGAACAAGTGAACGCAAAAAGTGCAGCTTGGCTCCCAGTGGACAATGTGGTTCTAAATGGGTGGATTGTGTGCGAGTCGAGAGTTTCTCCAGGGCATCAGACCTGAATGGTACAGTAGCATGAGCCCATTTAAAAGTAATTACCACAGCATGTTCCAGAGAACGTGTGGAGCCCTGCCATTCCATATGAATGGTGGAAGAACATGTTACCAAAACTGACTTTTGTGTGCCGTTATGGAATGGGAACAGACTTAAATACATAACGAGTGACTCGTCGCATTTAGAAAAACAAATTATGCATGGGACAATGAAGCCTTATACAAAAGGTTAAAAATAAACAGCAAGAAAGGAAGACATTTGTGAAAACACATGACATAGATAGACAATAATTTAAAACGCATCTTTGTGAGTCAGATAAACAAAGTGCACTACTACAAATGTATCATTCACTGCCATGAAACAGTGGATGCATTTAATTGTTTGAACATATAAAAATAAACCACAACAAAGCAACACACATTTTGTACAAATAAAAACCTGAAATGGTTCCATTGACAAAGATTCTGAGTGTTTCGAATCGGAAAGGTGGATACAAGATTTACATCGGTAACTAAAACACTGCAATTTATGAACACAGTAAACCTGGTTAAGAATGTACATACTCTATTACCAAAATAAAACTGAAAATAGCTGCTTAATAATAATAACAATAGTAATGTAACATTTTGTATTGATGAGCAGTTGCACTTGATTTGATGAAAACAATAAAGACATTGTTTTGCTAAGACGAAAAAAAAAAGGAACTATTGCCCAATGTTAATGATAAAAGTGTCCTAAGGGGCTCACAAACTGATAAAATATTTAAAACAAACCTCTTAAGAATTATACAAGTATAAAAGGCTACAAACATTAATAAATTACATCACTGACACAGAAAACACTTCACAAGGTGCTAGTAAAATAACTTTAAAATCCATCAGGGGTATTTTAGCTCAAATGTCAGGCTGGTCGTAGAAACTTTGTTGATTTTTTTTTCCTTCTCCCCCATCATAAATGAATCATAATACACATGGTTTTCTGCATGTAAGGCCATATGAGAATAAATGTTACACTGTTTATTTTGTTCTCCAGGCAACACCTTTTGTCTAATATAACAGAATGAAATGAAAACAAAACAATGGTTAAAAAAAGTTCAGCTATTGTGTATCTAACAAAAAAAAAATTAAAAGGTAATGACTATTTCTATATCTTTATATATATATTTGTCTGTAATTAGCAAAAACTAGTAAAAATGTATAATGAAGTATTAAGGAAAAAGGATACAAAAAGTAGTCATTTAAAAAGCTATATACAGGCTACATTCTACATACTGTACTGTGAACAATATAAATGCATATTTCATTCTAGGGTAATTGGTGCTGCCTGTGAAACAAACAGAAGAGAGAAAGTATCCCCATGTAGTGAAATGTCATGGATGAGGCTTATCATCAGTGCTAGAGATCCCATTCATGTAGTGTTTCGTTGTTTTGCCGAGTGTTCTGTAACCGTAATAAGAGCTACGTTGTCAAACAATAAAAAAACAGTATGACATAAAACTGATTGTAGTATCAATGTCTAAAAACAACAGTAATATATAAATAACATTTTAAAAGACGTGCTAACAATTCATTTTATTTCATGTGATACGATGATTTGCTAAACCAACGGGGAAAATAAGATATTTCAACCATGTTATTTAGTGAAAATATGGTTTGTTATCGATATGCATGTTTAACAACTTGACAGTTTTTCCCCACAAAAACAAATTTTTTCCCTATATTTGTAGAAAAAAAAAAAGTTTTTTTTTTTTTTTTTTTTAAAGCTGTCGTTTTATAATAGCTGTGAAGATATACAATGTTACTAAAAATAAGAGTTCATATTTGTGCTTCACTGAAGTTTTGTAAGTGCCTTAGGGCTTCAAACTACCTAGGACATTTACAATTATATTCGGTCAATAAATATTATCTGCGATAGTGCTTAGCAAACAGAAAAGTACTTTTTCAGTTGTCCCGTGTAAAAATGCTTTTTTTGCTTAAGGATTAAGGAAAGTAAATTCCAAATGGGGGATATTAAAATCACCCACCAGTTACTGTGAAAATCGTCATGTCTTCAGTAATACTTGTTAAAAAATTAAAAAGACAATGATAAGCCACATCCAATAAGCAAAAATGAAATTCTTGTTTGCAACCTTCCACCAACCCTTTCCCCTCATCAAAACAATGCATGCAACTGGAATACATGCAAGGGATACTTTCTTTATCTTGGAATGACTGCTATGTACTGTATCTTATAATATATTAGCAACCCCTGATAAACTGATAGGTGTAGTAAAACAAGACAAATTCTTCTTACAAAATATTAATAGCAGGTATTCTGTACATTTTTAATATCTGAAAGTTATAAAGTAAAAGAAGAGGCAAAAACCTATCTGAGCTATGTTCTTCTTAGAAATTGAAAACTTGTGGGATCCTGTTCACGTTCCCGTCCGTTTCAGTCCTTATGCTCTCATCTCGGCTTGTCGAGGGAGGGAGGGATCAGTCCACGGGTCCATAAACGTCAGGAGAAAGTCACCCATTGTCCACGTTACAGCAGAAGCTTGCCGTTACGATGAATCTTTAAGATTTTTCCAAGTCTCTGTTTGGCCGTTGCCATTCCTTTCTTTAGCCGCTTGGCTGTGGGCGAGACGAGGCAAAATGGTTAGCATATGCAACAACAACTTTGCAACTCTGTGATCACGGCAATACATTATTAAGCCACAGCTGTGTCAATAAATTATTAAAGATCGCGAAATTGCAACTCTCATATTGGCCAGTGCAGCATAAACAAACCTTTAAACATGAATCGATACTCATCACAGAAGATCTTATTTATGTTTTGGCCAAAATCACCTTTGGCGTCTGTCGAGTTCCCACGTTCGACTTTTGGTGGCGGGACAGATGAGGTGTTCTGAGATGACGATGATGATGAAGACCGTCTCTGGCTGAGGAAGACTCCGGGGGCCATGGGTTGCGAGCTGCCGGCGGTCTTGCTCGTTCCAGTGCTGTACTCATGGTCGCCCAGGTTAGTCTCAGAGTCCGGGGTGGGTTCTGGAGAGCTGCTGTCCTGAGCGAGTTTGTGAGGCTCCTCTACAGCCACGGGCTTCTTTTTGGTACTCTTTTTCTTCTTCTTGATCTTCTGCTCCTCCTGTAGCAAGAACTAGTTAGTAGGGTCATTTAGCTAAATCAGTCTTAAGATGTTTCTATTAAAAAAATGGAAGCTATTAGAAAGGATTCAGAATTTCTTGGTATTCATCTCTTTTACTTTAATGACACTCGAGCTGCATGAACTCCACAAGTGTGTGTAAAACCTGAAGATCATGTTCTTCACAAGCTTGTCTTGTGCTTTAAGACACAAAGGAGTTCACATGGTCAATGCCACAAATTTGTGACCATAAACAGTGCAAGATGTTAAATATCTCTTCATTGTACATCAGAATCCAAAATCTAACCTTTCAAAATTATACAAACTATAATGTCCAGGATAAAATGTTCATGTGGTCTCAGGCATTTGGACTGTAAATGAATGGCATGGTGCAATGCAATGATTCCAAATGCAACATCCACAAAATTGTAAATAAATTAATTGTTTTACACAGTATTTACTAGGGCTATACGATTGGGGGGGAAAAGCTAATGCGATTTCTCTGGCAGTTTTAATTAGACTAGGTTTGCTGTGCTTGTTTGTAGGCCAAACTTTTGTGATTACCAATATCATTACAAAATAATATTAATAATAATAAAAACTATTATTATTAATACTATTTTATTCTGATTACTATTATTACTAACTAACATTCTTAAACCCCAAATTAATACTATTGTAATATTTCACTGTAAATATATAAAAAATGAGTATTTCAGAAAATTTTATAATTTTATTTTACAGTACAACTGTAAAATTACAATACTAATACTAGCTGTCTTCATTTTCAAATTTTAATCCAATTCAGCTTTTATTTTGTTGGAAAACCACAGCTTCTCATTTGCTGGTAACAGTAAGTGTATATAAATGCTTTTTATTACAACCTTGAGAAGGTGGTTGATATATATTCCCAAATACATGTTATAAGCGAACCAAGCTCAGAGCAGATGCAGAAATGGAGTTTGTGTAGTGCAGTATGAACTTTGAACGGAGCTGCTCCAAGACACTGAAAACAGTGGATTATGAGCTGCATGCATGGAAATGAACACTTTGAAACACGCACCACATGTATTTATGTAATGAATTAAATCACACTAAGCCATATTGCGATTTTAGCTTTATATACAGTATATTCATTGTGTGCATCCCTAGAATTTACTTCATTTAAGAATAGAAACATAATAAAATGTAAAATGTAATAAAGCATTAACCTGATGAGACAATTTAGCCGCCGCAGCTGCCAATCCTGTCTCTATGGACGCCACACGTGCTCCCTCCCGAGCTGGTCTCTCCTGTCGTGGTACAGTGGGCCCAACTCGTGCTGCAACAGTATGAATATAATCCCATGTGATTCAATTTACATTATAGTCAGATTCCCACCTGAAACTGTAAACTTTGCACTACCTGTTGGACTATATGGAGTGTCATCTGTATTTTTCCTTTTTTTCGATCTCGATTTGAAAATGGGACTGTCCTCCTCAGATTCCAGAGATGGATAAACTGGAAAAAACAAACAAACAGACAAACAAAAACACATCATTTTCATTTAATGCCATATCAGCATCTAAGGCTATACATGCATGGCAATTAATATAGAGTAATAAGAGTAATACATTTAAAATAATCATAACAACAACAATACTTCAATAGTTTAACAATATTATCTTTATAAGCAAACAAAACAAAAATAAATAAATGAAAATGCATGGTTACAAAAAGCAAAAGTTAGCTAATTCTACAGATACCACCATTTTCATTGCTTTTGGAACGTCTTCTCTTTTTGAAACGCCATATGCATGGTTTAAAGTCGCTAGAGAAAGCAATGTAAATGTGCGCTGTCGAAGCACATTAGTTTTAAACATATAGCTTTACATGAGAAAGCACCCTGTTTTTGCACTCCATAAACTACAGTGCTAAGTATTTTCTCATTGGACAGGATGTTTAGCGTGACACAGATGCACGGCAGCTGTTCCTTGCCCTGCCTCGGCCTGCATGCACCTAGCTTCTTTGAACTCAACTACTCAGGAACACGCAATTTCCAACAATTAAATTATCAAGACAAAGAAAAAAAAAATGTTTACAGAAAGGAGGAATGCCTGTGTGTTTGATAAAACTCTCTCTTAGTGTGAGTCCGAACGGGAATGTGCGTGCTAGTAATGACTAATTAGGGTATCAGATCAAAAAGCATTTAAAACAACAGTTTAAAACTCATGCTAATGGATTATTAACAGGCTACTAATGGTCTTGCTGTTCTTGGAATGGGTTCACAAAAGCTATAAAAGAGACCACTCAGAAGGGGGGGATTGAAAAGTTCTATCTGAGAGTAAACACGCCTGTCACTTTGCCGTGAATGAGAACCCCTAAGTCAAAATCAAACTCTAATCAGAACATTGATAGAGCAGATTTACACTGTTTGGCTTTGCTCTAAGGGCACCTAAGCAATTCCAAGTCATCATGAAACATCCTTGACAAATTGTCTCAGAGGAACTAATTGGTCTTGATAATAGTGCAAACAAGCTATCCAAGATGAAGGTATGAGAGAATTGCAATCTGTTCTCCAAATGGGTTCTTAAAGGGATAGTTCAGCCATTCCAAACCCTTTTTTCTTCTGAATCTTGGGGTCCAAGCAACATTACACAACTTAATTGTATGGACAACAAAACTGTGGACTTTTTTCGAAATATCTTTTGGGTTCCTCAGAAGAAAGAAAGTCAACTTTGTCGCTGTAAGCACAGTAAAAGTATAAGTTTGAAGAACTTACCGTAATCAGAATCCCTAAAGCAAGCTTCCAGGTGGTCCTGGTCATCATCGAACATGTCCAAACTGTCCACGCTGCTGCCTGCCGTGTGAGCCGAGAAGACTATTGTGTCCACATCTGCTTTTGAGCTTGAGGTATCCAGCAGAAAATACAGATTTAGCCTGTGCAGATTACCACCTATTAAGTGAAAAGCGTATTCAAAAAATTTATAAATACTATAATAATATATAACTAATACTAAAATAACACTGGTGATATCCCAAAAATGTGAAAAAACAAAAACAAACAAATTTTGCACTTTCAGGGAAAAACAGATAGTTTACATAAAGTCAAAACAGTAACAAACTAAAAAAATTTTTATAAAATATTGAAATATTCTACATATTATAGTATAATATTTTAATATTGAAAACATTACACACATCACCTTTAAACCACCATAAAAATGTTTGATGTCATTTCCACTGCACAGGAGATCCAGAATCCCAGCTGAACTGCCTCCTTTATTCTTAGAGACCTTGGAGTTACGACCTTTGACCTCTGTCTTGGCCTCTGTGTCTATGTGGAGAGATTCCTCATCTGATGAATCTGGACTCTGAAATAACAAAAGTATAAACACACTCCATTTCACATAAGCTGGTAAATGTTTTGCCTTAGCAAAATACTAATATACCCTGACCTGAGCACACTTATGTGCATAGACATTATGAAAAGTAGACATGATTTTTCTTAGGTTTGTGGTATTTTATTGGTATATCCTGTAACCTTCTGTAACCCCTAAAATAGTTTGCCTGTAGGCCTCTGTCGTGATTAACTTTCTCACTCTCATTTGATTCAGTCCACAGCTATTTCCTTCCATCACTTTTGAGGTGATATTTGGCTCCGTCTTGCAGCTTGCTCTCTTTGATTTGTGCCGTATGTTGGTTTAAGTCAGAACATAATGGGTGAATTATTACAAGCCGAGAACATCAGCGCTATGATGTTTTAAATGCATCCAGAAGGATTTAATCAGCTACTTCGTGAAATAAAGATTGGAGATTTAGATTTTGTCCTAATTTCTTCCTGTTTACTGTCAATCAGCCTTTTAATGTTATTACCACTGTCTGATTAAAGAGAAATATTATTAATATTATTGATGTTCTGTTAAATAACACTGGACCGGCTATCTAAATAGAGTTTATGCTCACCTTCATGTCCGACTGTTGTAGCTTTGGCTTTTTCGCTGGCTGAATGGGCTCTTTGATGTTTGATAAAACTGTAAATAGCATCAGACGTTCAGCATTATTCTCACACAGCATGAGATGAAAGTTAAAAGACAAGTGTATCTCTTATAGGCAGGCCAACATGGAATCGGTGGTAGAGGATTTCCACATAATCTGAATGGCTGTCACTCACAAATTTCTACATATGCATCAGCCAGGGAGCAAAATTAACACTGCCAAATACAAGCAAAAACTGTCATTAAATTAAATGCACAGGACAGTAACTGCAACTTTATCTGGAAATTTACCATCTAAGGTTTAACTAGGATTTTTTTTTTACTACATGTGGTAACACATGTGAAATAATCATAATCTACTAATGCAAGAAAAATAAATCAAAAAGCAAAATAATTCACTGTTATTAGGACAACATATTACTTCTTAAAAACTATTACATTTTTAATATTTAATATATTATTAAAATAATGAAAAACAGATCATTGCCCATAAGAATTATTCATGACCAGTCAAATTTGACTTAATTCACTCGTCATTGGCAGATTTAATTTTGGGCCCTTGCTCCGCCCCTTTTGTGTTTGTTTATTAAATATTTTTGATTATACTTTCAGATACCAATAAGACTATAGTACTGTTTAACACTCATTTCTGTAGTCTTTCGCCTAAAATCAGTGTAAAAAATACAACAGAAGTCTGCAGATTCCATCTGGGCCTGATTATAAAGTCTATAATCATTTTTGCTCTTAAATGATGTTTTATTTAATCAGAAAATCACCCTGACCCAGATCGCATATCATGAAACCTTACAGGAAAAGTCTCTCTTGACTGCGTTCTTTTTCCTCCTGATTGGGAATTCGTCAATCTTAAGCTCCCCCTCATCAGAGACATACTCATACTCGTCTCTCACGGGCTTGGGTTTTTCTTCCTTTATGTTCTGTATTGAGCCAAAAACACTCGAATTGGTCTGGGTCTTGAGCATCTTTGATCTGAGAAAGCCAGATGATGGAAAAGAACATTAGTTGGATTGTCAGAAGAGACAATCTGGTGCAAAAACACAGAATTGCTCAAAATTAGGGCTGTCAACTGAATTAAAATATTTCTAAATGATTAGTATAATGAAATAATTTTTATTAAAATCAATAAATGTATGAAATGTCAGAATTAAGTTCAATACAACTGCACTTACCCCAACAACTTCTTATTCGACAATGAAAATGAAAATTTATTGTCTTTATGGCTGAGTAGACTTTTGTCAAATTTGTGCTCTTCTTCCATTTTCAATAACGAATCGGGTTTGCTATTCTGAAAGATGAAAAGAAACACCAAACGACAATCAGTGCTTTGAAACTCTTCCCGTCTCACACATTTCACAGGTCTTCGCTGTCAGCCTCTATCTGTCAGCCTCATCCACTGTGATCAGACGTCAAAGACTGAAGCCATTGCGGCTGATGACCTTGAAGACTATCTAGCAGAGACTCCTCTCCATCTGCAAATGTTTGGCAAGCGGCAAAGGAGCACTCAGATCAGGAGACTTGGAGCAACTACAAACATTCCTGGGCTGTCTGGCATTGAATTTTCCTCCTTGAACGAAAGCCCTGTAATGCCTTCCGTTCACCAGAATTAAGCTTTTCCTACAAAAGCCATCCCATGTTATCCAACAATAATGACACAACACACTCATTTTTAGAGCAGAAAGGACGGCATATGTAAATACTTAGCTGGCATGTCGGGGATATGACATAGCATTACAGCATTAGGTAAACTCTGAGCCTGGGTAAAGGGTTCTGCAGATTTGATGAGCCCAGAACAGAGAGAGTGACTGAGCCGCAGAGTTATTTCTGCTGATTGCTTTGATCTGAAACGTGTAAATCACTTCTGGAGGATCTCAAAGCCCTATGTGCTACTTTTCAACTTGTCGGGGTTTGATATCATTTGCATGGATTTTCAAAGCTTCGCTCTAGCACTGATCTATGTTGCAGTGGAGGAAATCATTACGCTTGTGTTACACCACGACCCAGAGTTATTCATTACAGTTGTTTCCTTATATTGTAAATCTAACAAACTTACCTTATATTTCCATTTGGCCTCCGTCTTGTTCTTATTATGCTCTCGAATCATCTTAAACTTATCAACGTCATTCGGTTTACTCATCTCCCTCTCCATGATACTCATCCCAGTCTTTACCAGCTGTGTAATGTGAGAGACAAGAAAAGTTGGACATTATAAATGGATTAAAGTGCATACCGAGAGTTCTAAAGATATTCACCATATATTCACAATGATTCTGCTAGTGCAGCATCATTACATATTGTTCATGTTCAGTTTATTTCAGTAAACCGATTCAAAACTGTTACTGGAAGTTAGACATTTCTACCGTTACAGAAGATTTATACTTAAAATAATCCTATTCATCAAAGAATCCCAAAAAAATATATCAGTTTTCAAAATTGATTATAATAAGATGTTTCTTGAGCACCAAATTAGCATATTAGAATAATTTCTGAAGGATCATTTGACTTTGAAGACTGGAGTAATGATAGGATCACAGAAATATAAAACTATAAAATATAAAACAGTTATTTTAAATTGAAATTATATTTCACAATTTCACTGTTTTACTGTGATCAAATAATGCAAATAACATTTGAACAGTAGTTTTTTTTTTTTTTAACGAAATTTTTACTGCATTTTACTTATTTTTTTGTTAAAATACACCCTTTCAAGTAATTTCAAATACATAAATATATATGGAATATCATAAGGCTGAAAAAACGTTACTTTTTTGGGCTGGTCCATCTTGTTCAGGATGTCCTTTGCATGGGATTCAAGAGCTGCCAGACTGGAGGGCTTTTTCTCAGGTAAAATACTTTCTTTCGCTTTCTTTGCTTTCTTTTTGCCACCTTCTTTTATTTTGGGTTCCTTCGGTGGTTTGGGTGCCTTGGGGATTTTGGGTGGCTTTGTGGCTTTCTTCCTGGCTGGCTTATCTCTTGGAGGGGTGGAGATGTGGGCAGGGGACATGGGCTCTTCTGGTTCTGATGGAGCAGACGGGGGTTCCTCTGCCGGGGGCTTCGAGTTGCTGGGTTCATTCTTTATGGCTTTTGTTGCGTTCTGAGTCAAAGACACAGAAGTTGTCAACCATTACTGATTCTGACAATAGTTGATTCAACACGTTCAAAGACATTCTACATAATAAAAATCAAGATCATATCTGAATAAATGAGAGTAAAGACAAGTCTCCAACGACTTTGCAACGTCTCACCTCTGAAATCCGAATCTCTTTGGCAAGGTCTTTAATGAGCTGTGGTGGCTTCATGTTTTCTGGAAGCTCGTCCTCATGTTCTAAAAGAGCCTTTGGAAAAAGACAAAAGCAAGAGTCACGGTCAAGTTACATTATTTAAATCAGCAAAACTAGTACAGAATATCGAAAATAATACAATTTATAGCAAGATGTACCTGTTTTTTAGTCCACGATCTGAATGCGCCGTTGACAATTTTGGCACCGTGTACCAAGTAAGGAGGTGGCTGTTTGTTTGCCTTATGTAAACCTGCAACATGATCAGGAAATTTTGCATCAGAGTCCATTATTCCCATCTAGATCCAAACACTCATCTAGTGCCGTATAAGTAACATAGAAAGGGCTGTTTTCTAAATAGGCGAATTGGTGAAAGGTCCAACTTTCCTTAAATCATTAGCAGCAATGCATAAGACCGTGGTCGCCCTGTCAGAAACGCTCAGAGCATGAAACTCACTGAAAGAAATGGGGAAACATTACACCAGAAATAAAAATGGACTACATTTTCAACCGAACCCATTACTGTTCAATAACAAAGGCCATTCATATATCAAACTGATTACTTCAATCCAGAGCGGCCCAAAAACAGTCATACGCCTTTTTGGAGCACCGGCTTCAACATTGATTACATTGGACTGGATACACAGCCACTACAGGAAATATATTCCACACTGCATTTAAATTAATAACATGAACATAAAGTGAAAGCTGAAACACTGAAATAAGAAGAGAAGCAATTGAGCTGGCAGTGGCCCAGTCGGCCTGCTGGGCCAGGGGCCAAGGACTTTTTTTCCCTCTACCTGAAGTCACACACGAGAGTTGAACCCTTGAAAAGATGACCTTGAAAGCCGATTCCCCCCTCTGAACATCAGATAGCTCGGAGACCAACTGCGGTCCTTTTTGCAATGTGCGCTCTACAGCAATCTGGCAAAATTAAGTAACGTGATGGGGTAAAATGGTGGAAATATAAACACGCAGTCCAAGGCCAGATGAGGGGAGTTTAAACACCAGGTTGTAATGGAGCAAGTGATTCTGCCTTTTTAAGCTAATCATCTGTGAACTCCACGATGCACCGATCTAATGACTGCAATAATATACCGCTATCCAGACCCTCCTCATCTGCTCAGCAGACCCCTTCCAGGATCACGCACGAAGCGAGCGAGAAGGAAGCCATTTGAGTCTACCTTACGACATTAGATCTTTTTATTTCCAGTCCCAAAGTTCACTGTTATGGATCAATCTTGTGCTGTGCAGGATGGAAAGGCAATTTTTGAAAGCAAAACCTTTGAAGCCACTTCAGGGTAGTCACACATGGGAGCTTTGCTGTGAATGATTTAAGTTTGCAATAACGTAAATGGTTGCCGTGAAGTTGACACTTTGCACTTTTTTACTTTTAGTTTGGTGAAACTACAAAACGAACTAAAAATATATATATTTTTATATATAATTGTTTTCATTTATTTTTAATACTTTTTATGAATTGCTCACCTTTAAACCTCTCAAGGTAGTATTTCCCCACATACCAACATGCTGTTTCGAAGTTTGGAAATGGAGTGAGGCTGGCAACTTTGAGTCTTTTTTCCACCTCATATGCCCTGAGTGGAGAAGCAAAGAGAGGATTACTGAAAAGTGTGCCTTGAGAGGAAATCGTGGTCTCACACATGTGAAAAATGCACTTCAGAAGGCAAAAGCATATGCTCTTGACTTCCCCTCTTTTTTTTTTCCCTTGCTACAGAGGCTTGAAAGTGCTAAGAATAGAACAGGGAATGTTTGATGCTTGAGTGCTTCAATTGCATCACTGTCCACCAGTTGTCATTGCATGGCAAACTGCATGGAATAACTTTCAAATGGCAAACATTAGGCCTTTATAATTCCACATAATAATCCCAGTACACATCCACCCCACTATACTTAATATATTTACAGTTCTATATATGTATGCATAGTTTAAACAACAACCTGATACTGAGATATACTGCTAATCTAACAATGCATCAAATGCAACATTTCTCTCACTTTGACGCATTGTCTTGAGCAGATTACTTTGAGCAGACCACTGACCTCATTTGCATCTCCACACTCAGACTGTGGACAAAATGCCCAGAGAAGGCTAAGCAGTCTACAGGAGTCAGTATTGCATTAATCCAACCTGCCATTAAATACAAAACAAGGCAATGTTGTTATCTAAGAACTTCATGAAGTCATTTACAAGTAAAAATGATTAAAAAATAATCTCACCTGATGGAATGAAAAGCGTTTGCCCTTGTTTCAGTGTGCACTTGTAACACTTGTCCACTTGGTCAGCAAAAAACATCTCGCTGTGGTTGGAGGAGGACCTCCAGCGCTCGTATAGAGAAAGGTTGGCAGAAGTGGGCTTGATCAGAAAGAAGATTTTCTCTCCCTTTACAACACACAGATGAAATATAAAGTTCAACATCCACTATGCAACAGTATATTCAATGGCTGAATGCAGTGCTTGATCATTTCAAATCAAGTATTCAAGAGAACAATGTAATAAAGCCAATCTTATGTACTAAATTGACTAGTTAATTATTGACTACAATATAAATTAGTTACTCACACAAATTACGACTTTTGTTTTACTTTACACCATATTAATAACTGATGAATTCATTAATCAGTAAATTACATACTTTAAAATCATTTATAAATACAACACTTCCTTAAGTAAAATCATGGTAAGCGTTAAGAATAATGAATACAAATTTGAAATACTTTTAATTTTAGCAATAACATTGAGATATAACATGCAGGAGTCACCTTAAGTACATGATACCACACAGAGGCACCTCCACACTCAATGTGGAAGTCTGTGTAGCTGTCTTTCACACATATGAGACAGTATTTGGACACTTTGGGCTTCCCCAACAATGCATCGTCAGGCCAGTAATTTTCCACCCAGGATAACTTCCGAACTATTTGCGGACTCTCAACAATATCGGCCATTCTAGAGACATAAAAGGAAGAATAGTAAATACTCCTGTTACCAAATGAAATGACACACATTAATATACTGACATCTGGAGTGTGTATTGTACTTAATATTGTTGCTTTGTTGTTACATGTATCTGCTGTAAAATGTGAACATTTACATTTTTCATTATTACTTAGAAAAAAAACTGAAGCTTACCTTGTGTCTGAAAACTCTAGGTTGATCACATTTAATACTTTCTTTCTGTTTGTGCTGTAGTAAAAATCAACAAATTCTTTCAACTTCATCTGGCTTTGTGTCTGTTTGGTCACATCGACAACATCTACAAGAACATCAGGTCCTTTGAACGAGAAAAGTTACAAATCAATTAGAACATAAACATATTGCACATACAGATATACTTCCATACTAATCATCAAAAAAGAGGAACATTGGTTTTATCATACCTCATAAAACACTTACCAACATAGTTTTCCACATCACTGACGTAGAACGTGGGTGCAGGCATAGCCATCCCCAGCCCATCTTTCTTCTGGATGAGAATTGGCTCATTGAATCCATTCTCCTCAAGGTAGTCCAACGTCATCTGACTTCCAGACAGCTTGACCACCACATCTTCTGCACTGCAGTGGAAAACAAACCGTCAGCATGTTACCTACACAATTTCTCCAAGACATCATACTGGAATCTTCATCAGTTCACATGTCTGGTGGAAAAGTTCAGAGCCTGAGCAAAGCTGATCATGGAGCGCCATCTACTGAACACTAAATGAACTGAAGGACTTGGACTTTATCAGGAGCACTGGCCCTTTAAATTCTTCACTGGCAGGATCTTCACAAAGGTGTACTGTACCTGGGGAATGTCCTGCTGCGCAGCTCTTTTATGAACACCTGACTGCCGTTTTGAACCGGTCTGACGTCTCCACTTTGCCCCGTGTCATGCTTATTCCAGCTCTTTTTCTTTTTCACTGTTAAAATTGTAAACAGGTGAAACCAGCCAAATCAAGATCAGACACCACGAACACAATATACTTAAGTCTTTTTCATTGAAAACAGTTACTTAATGAAGCAAAAAAATAACAAAAACGTTTGCAAGCTGCAGAAGCAAAAGCATAAGTGTACGAGTGTGTACAGAAGATAAGAACATTTTAAACATCAACATAATGGTTTGGTTTGTAACCAAAACTTTGTCATTTTAAAGTGAATTGTTTTCGTAAATCTAAATTCAGTAGGAGGTCTTTAATGGGATAAGTCTACTTTAGTTGTAAATCAATTTTATCACTTTTCTAAAGCTTGTTTTCATTTATTAAAGTGTTGGATTGATACAATAAATAAAGACCCTCATCTTTTTTTTGTACAAAAATATAATACTGAAAATGATGATTAATTAAAATATAAATTAAATCCAAACAAAGAAAGAAAAAAAATACAATACACCAGTAACATTTTAGAACATTATTTATTATAACATTATATGTTTTATATTTTAATATATTTTTAAATGTAATTTACTCCTGCAATAGCAAAGCTGAATTTTTAGCATCATTACTCCAGTATTCAGTGTCACATGATCCTTCAGAAATCTCTAATATGCTGAATTGGTGATCAAGGAACATATTATTATCAATGTTAAAAACATTTGTGCTGCTTAATATTACATATACTTATGGTAGTGTGTGTGTATACAGTGGTGGCCAAAATGATTAGAACACTAGTATTTTCACCAGATAAAAAATGGTTTTAAGTGGGTTATTTCTATCTTTTGCTGTGTGTCAGTAGGAAATATCATTCATTCATTTTGCCATTAATTGTAATAATCCAGCGAGATTTTTGTTTGCACATGGAGTCTGAAAACAGCCAGTGCTCCACACAGAGATCTGATCTCATCTTCATCCAGAACAAACTGAGACAGACTAAATCCAGAAGAACTGTGGCAACGTCTCCAAGATGCTTCAAGAGACCTATATATGAATAATGAATTATATATAAACAATGAATTAACTTGAGCTGAATAGCAACACTTTTGCCTTTTATAGAGCTGCTTATAGCTGAACTGAACACATTTAATAATTGATGAATCAACACTGAGCTGAATAATAACCCCATTGTTGTTTAAAATTGAACTTTGTCTCATTTGACTGTTAATATGAATAATGAATTATATATAAACAATTAATTAACTTGAGCTGAATAGCAACACTTTTGCCTTTTATAGAGCTGCTTATAGCTGAACTGAACACATTTAATAATTGATGAATCAACACTGAGCTGAATAATAACCCCATTGTTGTTTAAAATTGAACTTTGTCTCATTTGACTGTTATTTTCTTGTTTATTACTGTAAAGCTGCTTTGAAACAATCCGTATTGCATACAGCGCTATATAAATAAAGGTGACTTGACTTGAGTAACACCTAATTCATTCACAGTATAAATGAAAGATACTTGCAGGTGGATTTGCCGTGGGTCTTTTCACAGTTAGGACAGTGATAGATGTCAATATCTGGTGCTTCATCTTCATCCACTCCCACACAGCTGTAACAACAAACAGCATATCAGAACTGAGTTAACGGCAAATAAAATCTGGTTAATCATGGTTCTGTAAAACATATATACTGTGCCTACACAAGTACTCAAAGATCTGGTTCTAATAGAATCATACTTCACTGACAGCCATTCAAAATCAGCCATGGATTCTGATGAAATATTCCGAATGGGAATGTTAACAGATGGCTTTCTCCAATCATTATCTACCCACTGCTATTTTCCAGGCCATGGCTGCCCCTTAGAGAAGCCCTAGTGGTCTGCTTTGTTTGGCAGGCTCAGGCCACATGTCCTGAGGTTTTGGAGGTCCGAGGCCCCAGGGAACCGTCCTGGTCCATAATCCAGTCCTGCACGGTAGGAATGGTGCGTTTCCGATGATGCACAGTGTTCAATATTATAATAATTTCTTACATTTATATAGCGCTTTTCTGGGTACTCAAAGCGCTTTACATGGAAGGGGGGGGATCTCCTCAAACACCACCAGTGTGCAGCATCCACCTGGATGATGCGACGGCAGCCATAGTGCGCCAGAACGCCCACCACACACCAGTTTATTGGTGGAGAGGAGACGAAGCCAATCAGTAGATATGGGGATGGTTAGGAGGCCATGATGGTCAAGAGGCCAATGGGCAAATTTGGCCAGGATGCACAGAGTCAGGACCTCGGTTTAACGTCTCATACAAAGGACAATGCTTTTTTTACAGTATAGTGTGCCCGTCACTATACTGGGGCGTTAGGACCCACACAGACTGCAGGGTGAGCACCCCCTGCTGGCCTCACTAACACCTCTTCCAGCAGCAACCTAGTTTTCCCAGGAGGTCTCCCATCCAGGTACTGACCAGGCTCAACCCTGCTTAGCTTCAGTGGGCAACCAGTCTTGGGCTACAGGGTGATATATGCTGCTGGTATACGCCAAATATGGCATTTAGTCTGATGGCCAACAAGCTCAACTTTTTTCCAGCTGGCTTCAGAGTCTACCACATGCCTTCTGGCAAAACTACAACTGAGATGTCATGTGAAATTTTTAACAGTGGCTTTCTCTTCACCACTGTCCCATTAAGCTGTTGAAGCACCCAAGCAACAGTTGTTGTATCACAGTCACTTCAGAGTTGTCAGTAGTCACTTAGTGGCCCTTGACTTCACACAAGTGATCTTCGTTGAACTATTTGTGTCTTGAAAACCCAACTGAGTGCACTAGCGTGTCATATTAGAGGGACAGTCCACCCAACAATGAAAATTCTGTCATCATTCACTCACCCTCATGTTGTTCCAAACCTATTCTTTCTCCTGTGTAACACGAACGAAGATATTGTGAAGAACTAAAAAGTGTTGGTTCCCATTCAACTCCATTGTATTATCAAAAACATACAATGGAAGTCAATAGGAACCAAAACAAACCAACATTCTTTAAAATATCTTATTTTGTGTTCCACGGAAAAAAGAAAGTCATATAGGTTTGGAACAGCATGAGGGTGAGAAAGTGAGGAAATTAGAATTTTCCTTTTCTCTAATTTTCATATTTTTTATTATTTCACATCTGTTTTATATTGACATTACAAGTCTGATCAGTAGCAAAAATAAAAACAAAAACATTTCAATGGTGTAAATGAAGCAAACATGAAAAACCTCCCAGAAGCGCAAAACTTTTCATAGGCACTGTATGCATTTTTGTCACCCCATCTGCAGAGCAAATGTTCTCCCTATAATAATATAAACCCTATAACACATTCCTGCCATTAGGAGGAGCTGTTCACGGGTCATGAGTAAATACTGAATTGGGAGTGTCCACTATGGCTCTCCTCCAGTGGTATAATTACTACATGCAGTCATATGAATATCACACATGCTGTCCACTCAGATGGTGGGTGGTGTCAGCACCCTTGAATCATAGCAAAAGTGAAAGAAGCCAAGTCTCACTGAGTCTCAGTACAACGAAGAGTGCATGTGGGTGTGAAGGGTCAAACCGCCCTCTCGTGCATCAGGATTAGCAGTGAAATACACTCTTCGACTTTCCTCAGCTAATCCTTATCATGAGCATCTGCATGCTGCCATTAAGAGGCCAATCCCTTTTCGATTTTAAAGGAGCAGTTTACCCAAAATTTTATATTGTTCAGTTATTTATTCACCATTATGTAATTCCAAACCCTTAAAAAAAATCTAATTTTGTATTCCACATTTTAAAAAAATCATTTAATGTACATATGTAACATGTTTTTGATAGTAGTCTCAATGTTTGTATATAATAATAATTTAAAAAGTATCATTTAAAATGAAATGAAAAACATAGTAAAAGCATAATATTTTGAAATATGAAAAAAACGTTTTCTAATTTAATATTGTTTAAAATGGCATACTCCTGTGATGGCAAAATGTGATGGTGAAGCTGAATTTGCCATTTTTACTGTTAGAGAACACAAAACATGTTTTTGATAGTAGTCTCAATGTTTGTATATAATAATAAAAAAAAAAAGTATCATTTAAAATGAAATAAAAAACATAGTAAAAGCATAATATTTTGAAATATGAAAAAAACGTTTTCTAATTTAATATTGTTTAAAATGGCATACTCCTGTGATGGCAAAATGTGATGGTGAAGCTGAATTTGCCATTTTTACTGTTAGAGAACACAAAAGTAGATTTTTTTGAAGAATGTTCATGCAACAATAATTTATAACAACCACAGTGGTCAAGATCCAAAAAGCACCAAAAACATTAGAAAATAATATGTATGTGCTATATTACTTGTGAAGTACACTGTGAAGGTTCTTCAAAAAATCTCTACAGGAAAAAGGGTTTAACAACAGAAAGGTGAGTAAATAATAAGAGAATATTAATTTTTGTGTGAACAGTTGCTTTAAGACTGAATAGACAAAGCTTTCTCTCTGTCAAATTACATTCAATACAACATGTCTCATTGTGCAACCACCTGCGATGGATCCGCAGTAGAGCACATGATGATGATGCTTATTTACAGGGCCATTTTGTATGTTAAGTGTCAACAGTCCTAGGAGAAAGTCTCAAAACCACTTTCCGGAAATAGTTGCGTCTAAGAAAGCATCTTCTTAAAAGCAGCAACGACACCTTCAGTACCTCAATGCAGTTCTTGTACTCTATTTCATGCTTGAATTACAAGAAAGTAGCATGATCAACAGTGTAATGACAACTAGACTACTAGAGTCACATCGGTCAAAAGTCAAGAAAATTCAGAGGAAAAAAAATAACAACTGGAAGGCCATTCAACAAAATGAATCAGGCATGAGGCCTTCCCTGGAAGAACATGACTGGATTTTCACTCTGAGACAATGTAAATACGCACTGTCATGACAGACCAAAAAAAACAACAACAAGCCAAATACAAAGAAAAAACACTTTCTATTAAGAGTTTTGGTAATTTGCAGTACAAAAGATTTGATCAGCAAATACAACAACAACAACAACAAAGCATTATGGAATGTACCATGATATTATGGCAACTCTAAATGATTCTCCATGTAAAGTCATCCTCAAGGCAGGTGCAGTTAGTGTGTTATTATAACTTATTTAATAAACTTGCACAATAGTCCAAAGCTGCTCTGTCACAGACTAGCTATTATCATTAATGGGACAAATGTAATTTAGGATCTGATGTGCCTCTTGTAGCTGGCATCCTGCCCTGTGAAAGAAGGGAATGATATTATTCATTACCACCTGAGGAGTCGAGAGCACACACCCACAACCACAAACATCAGCATGTGTTTCAGTGTGTGTGTGTGTGTGTGTTTCAGACGGCAGTGTTAAAAAGCGTCTTCATTTCTGTTCGCCTGCCAGTAAGCTTGTAGAAATCATTATATCAACATGTTTACTCTTGATGGAAATTTATGCTGATCATAGAGGAACATTTTGGAACTGATTAAACATTTATAATATATTAAAGATTAAACATATATAACATGTATAAATACTAGGACTGTTATATGATTAATTCAGGCAACAACAGGAAGATGTAATATTGTGGAAGTGGAACTTCTTATTAATATCTTTGATGATGATGCTCATCTGTCATCTGATCAGTTTAAAAAAGTTGTTTCTAAGAGTAAAAAATTATGAAGTAGCCTTGTAGATAAGCTTTAGGTCCCATGGCTGCAAAGGGGTGAAAGTGAGGTAAAAGGTGTGAGTTCACATGCCGTGTAACCTTAAAGCAGGGGTGCCCAAACTCGTTCCTGGAGGGCCGGTGTCCTGCAGAGTTTAGCTCCAACCCTAATTAAACACACCTGAACCAGCTAATCAAGCACTTATAGGCATACTAGAAACTTCCAGGCAGGTGTGTTGAGGCAAGTTGTAGCTAAACTCTGCAGGACACCGGCCCTCCAGGACCGAGTTTGGGCACCCCTGCCTTAAAGGGATCCCACACTTTTTGACCTATACATTTCTATGGATGTTCTTTTAGCTTTCCAGTAATCTGTGGTAAGTATTTTTACAAACCATTTGGACTCATTGATTTGAAGATTCCTGAAAAGAAGAAGATATAATTATGGCTTGTCTTCATAATTTAAACCCAAGCACTGAAATATAGCCATACACCCATTTATAGCCAATGAAATATGACATAGAGCAAACTAGAAAAAAAATGTATATTCATTATATGAATTCCTTTTTTTTTCAGGCCTGGAAAACACAACTTTTTTTTACAGTGTACAAATGGCCAGCTGGAAGTCACTTTGAATGAAAGAACTGACAATTCAAAAATATTAGCCAGGCCAAAAAAAGAAAAAGAAAAAAAGAAGAGCTTATCAGTTGAATTCTGTGCAATGGATTTACAAGCAGTCAAGTGTGTTTAATTAAGCTGAGTGTATTACACTCCTATTAGGGCTGCACAATTAATAGAATTTCTAATCGCAATTACAATTATGGATGCCACAATTACGTAATCGTTCAAAGCAGCAATTAATCGTTCAAAGTCCACTTATGTTATTCTGCACGCTTAAGATATGTTTTTTCTTTCTACATGTGGATGGGGGCAGCAGGAACCTCCCGTAACACAAACTACAGCGATATGAAGAGCCGCGGAGCTGCTCCTACGTCCATTCGAACGTTCCCCTGATCCGACGTTACAATGTTACGATGTTAAAATGTTTCCCGCGCTGCATTGACGTGTGCATGCCCCCTGGTGACTATACGAGAGCCGAGACTTTCATAAAGCCCAAGAAAATGCATCCTTTCATTGTAATATTGTTACGTCAGTCTACAAGAAGGGAAAAATCGCTTCGGTCATGCTGGTCCAGATGAATGGAGCTCATTAAACGCTGCGGCTGCTTCGCAGGGTTTCCCGGGACGATAGAAAGACGAAAATCCACCGCCAGGGATCTCCAGCCAACCGTCGAACCAGCTGCAGCAGAGTCTATGACACGTTAATAAGATCTCATGCAGTTATGGCACAGAAGTGAAAGGAATATAAGGACAGAGGGTTAGTTCAAATTTTGACAAGCTCCTCATTTTAAATTGCAGCTAGATATTATTAATAATGACTAGTTATTATTACACGCATACATCCATTATATATATATATATGTACTTTGAATAGCGTAATATTTGTGGCACACTTTGTGACCCTGGACCACAAAACCAGTCATAAGGGTCAATTTTTCGTAAATGACCCCGTTCAAAAGTTTACATACGCTTGATTTTTAATACTGTTTGCTTACCTGAATGATCTGCAGCTGTGTTTTTTTTGTTTAGTGATAGTTGATTATGAGTCCCTTGTTTGTCCTGAACAGTTAAACTGCCTGCTGTTCTTCAGAAAAATCCTTCAGGTCCCACAAATTCTTTGGTTTTCCAGCATTTTTGTGTATTTGAACCCTTTCCGACAATGACTGTATGATTTTGAGATCCATCTTTTCACACTGAGGACAACTAAGGGACTCATATGCAACTATTACAGAAGGTTCGAATGCTCACTGATGCTCCAGAAATTGTTTTCAGTCTCTCCAAACCAAACCAAGACATCAGATGTTCAATTTGCATCTGAAGTAAATGTATCTTGATTTAAGGACGCTAATATATCTGTACAGGAAAAAAAAAAAAAAAAAAAAGAAGTGCAGTGACTGAAAGCAATCGCTTCAATTA